TTTTTTTTTTAATTTTAACTGCTTAAACCAAAAATCTATCAATGTCAAAATATAACCAGTAATCCAGCAAAAATTGTTTGTTGATTTCTATATAAACACATATTTTTTCCTATTTTTCCTCTGCAATTCCAGTAAAGATTAATTTCAGTGTTAATGGTAAAAGGGGAACGACTACTAATTCTGAAGAGGTGTTTGAAGACTATGCCAACAATGCTGCTGATGCTGCTGCTGGTGATGATTATGGTAATGGTGACAATTGTGATGAAGATTTTGCAGGCGTTACGGAACCACATGGATTTGTAGATGCAGTACATTAAACCATATATGACTGCAATTTTTTGAGTAACCAAATCGCCATGAACCGTCCAGACAAAGCTCGCTTTTCTCCAAATTATTCTTCATTTTTTCACGTTCTCCGTCCCTTGCTAGTCGAAAGAAAACTAAAGAATGATTGTCTCTGAACTCACTAATTCGTCTGTCCAACGAAAACGATCACAGTAATCGACGACAGTTGACTGACGCAAAGTATAACAAATAAAGCAAAACAAAAGACAAGTTCAAAATGCGGTAAGATTAAGAACAAAAAAAAAAAGTAATAATAGTAGAAAAAAATAAATCTTTTTGTGGAACAGTAAATACATTCATCGACATTGTGATACATACCTTACAGACAAGTAATACATCAACAACATCAGTAGGTCATTCATCTGTTCACACAGTGCATTGTCCATATAACGGTCAACCTGTTAAATAAATAAAACTACAAGAGGGCTATCTTCAAAGCAGTTCTAGTTCTAATTTTTATTTCTTTTGATTTTCACAAGACAGTATGAGGTGGTTTAGAAAGCTATTGTATTTTTGCAGAGACAGACAATAAAAAAAAAATTTCAATGCACACCGGTATGTGGAAATAGTAAAGAGGATACGGAGATTGACGGGAGATGAAATTGTATGGATTATTTACAGTTGGCATATGATAGATTAATTCAACATATGAAAATGGTCATAATATTTTCATAGATCGACTACTTTTTAGGCATCATTTTACTTTTCTTGTAGTCTGTTTCTTAGTCTATTTGTGAACAAACTATGTATACCAAAAAAAAAAAAATCAAGCGAAAAGAAAAAATTTATTTTTTTTCTTTTTTTCAGTTTATAATCGCATTTTTTTTTTCTTTGATTTTAC